AGTTCAGTAGAGATCATCCATTCCAGAATCACAGTGGAGCACTTCCTGTATTACCACATGACATCACAGGGTGTTTTTCGTCTGAGTGAAGAACAGTCTAAATCTGCAGGGTTTATGGAGTGAACAACAATACAGCAGATCAGAAAGTAGACATTTAAAAAGTGCAGAGGCAGAATGATTCCATTTAACGTGACGCCACCAAACAAGGATTTGGAGCGTCATACTGCTCTACTACAGGAACAATACTCTGGCTGTATTTTGTTTAGACCAAAAGCCATCTTCATATCACTTGTTTGTATGGTGACACTTCTATGGCTCAACTCTGTCCCAGTCCTAATGTTGTGCACAGTGTTTGTAAAACTTAGGGAGAACCCATACCCTGTCAGCATTTTTACTAAACCAGTCATTTGTCCCAGCTGTCCCTAGTTTTGACCAATATAATCCCTGCCAACGGTAAAGAGGGGAATCTATTTTCATTTGTTTCGCTAAAATACAGTAAGCTGTGCTTGAAAATTACCATAAACAACCAGAGAAAAACACCTGGGATCAAGTGGGACACTATGAGCTGAGAGCAGCCTGGATCAGCTGGGATCACCTGAGATCTATATTGATTAGATCTATATTGCAGTTTCATATACTGCTGCTGTAGTGTCATACATCTTCTACAATAATGCTCTTTATATAGATGCCTTCAGATAATAACAGTAGTAATGGAGGCACAAAAAGACTGCAGATGATCAAGAGGCCTGGGGGAGTCAGGCTGTGAGGTTCAAGCAAAATGTATCTAAATGTACTGGCAAAGGAGGAGGACAAATGTTTGTCCAGTTGACAAATTGGATTTCTCCTTTGCCATGGATTCTACCTGGACGCCTGAGGGATTCTACACACATCTAAATGTATTCTCACTAAATTACATGTGGGCATTCTCTGCAGAGAACAAACCATCCACTCTCCTCCAGGGTTCTTCAGATCAAACTAGATTAACAGCTCCATCTCACTTGAAATAAACAAGAATTAATGCCAACTACAGAGCTGAGCCCACATCCTGGCACAACACAGAGCACAACACAAAGCAGATACTGCCCACTGCAGGCCCGCTGCAGGCCCGCTGCAGGCCCGCTGCAGGCCCGCTGCAGGCCCGCTGCAGGCCCGCTGCAGGCCCGCTGCACGCCCGCTGCACGCCCGCTGCACGCCCGCTGCAGGCCCACTGGAGGCATCTGTGTGATCAGGGCATAGAGCACACGTGCCAGGCTGTACATGCACAGTTCACAGTGACACATGTCCAAATGCTTTTATTAACATTTCAGCTTCTAGGGTTTGATTTTTCTGTCTTTGAACCACAGTCTGTATCAGGGCTGAACCATTCAGGAAAAATATTGAATTGCATCTTTTCTGACAAGCATTGCAATTTTGATTACATGTCCAATTTATGTTTTAATAACAGATTCCTGTTCAAAGTTCACATTTAAACATGTCCTGAAGAATTGACTAAAAGAAATCTGAAGCGACAAACAAATACAAGGGTCCCATTTCAGAACATGTTAGTACAGATCTACACTCCAGGGTTAGGTGTTTATGTGCAGAGTGAGACAGTATGTGTTGTTGTATGTGGAGGAAATGATCTTTCAGATTTCAAAATTGTGATTATTGCGTTATTCAGATGGAGATTTGATCAGATGAATCTGCAGCCAGGATCTCCACTGTGCACTTGTGTGAGTTTCGGAGTTGCTGCTCCTTGCATGTGCGCCTCTATAAGTACACAGGCGTGTGTTTGATTTCATTTGAGAATAAATACAAACAAAGGAGTGCTTTACAAGCATACTTTTTCAGAATCACACCTTTTATCTCAAGCGCCACTTCCCTTTCTTGAGCAAAAATTTGGGTGACTCTTCCTGCTCTGAGCAAGTCTATTAGTGAAAAAAAAAAACATGAACATGTAATATTATGTATGTATTTCTTGAATTTAAAATCTGACCTATTCTGCTAAAGATTTTTGATCATGTTAAAATAGTTTCCCCTTCTCACTGACCCTCACACAGTTGAATTTAGAGTGAAGTGTGCATGTTTAATGTCTTTAATCTTATTTGCAAGACACACATACATACACATATCACACAGAGAGCACAGAGAGCACAGAGAGCACAGAGAGCACAGAGAGCACAGAGAGCACAGAGAGCACAGAGGCAGTCGATGATGAAAATAGCGTCTTGAAAATAATAATAATAATAATGATAATGCATCAGTTTTATATAGCACTTTTCTGGACACTCAAAGACGCTTTACACAGCATTCTTCATTCACTCCGCACCCAGAGATGGTAAACTACTATTGTAGCCACAGCTGACCTGGGGGAGACTGAAGGAAGCGAGAAATAAGCGTTTAAAGCTACCACAAAAGAACATGCACAAACTCTGAGAGAGAAGGGGAAATGGTGAGAACATGGTTAGAAGTAGACACACACCAGTATATCGTTTGGCAAATATTAGGCCGGTAGATATATCGCCCACCAAGAGTGTAGTTGGTGCAAACAGGGGCCATGGGGAAAGGAGGGGACTCTGCTGCGGCGGCGGGTCTGACACGGATGCGAAGGAGGGGGCAGAAGGATGCTGGGACGGGCTGGATACCTGCTGCGAGTTCACAAGGGCCGTGAATAGTGCAGTGGGGCGGGGCAGAACAGAGGACCCATGCATTTGCAAGGGGCTGAGGTGGGACCGTGGGTGCAAGCAGGAGGGCTCTGTGCTGTGTCGGGCATGAAGACCCGTCTGGTGCTGTGCTGCCACTCACAGGAGGGCTCCGTGTGATGCAGAGGTGCGAAAACCCACCCAGCGCTGTTGGCACTCACAACTATTTATGCAGAAAAAAGCACTAGGAAACTATGTGTTTATATAAACACCGATTCAACTCGATACCAAAAAGAAAAACAGCAACAAATTTTTAGTTAACTCCCTCAGTCACGTCTCCTTTCTGTTGATGAGCCATTTACAAAAAATATATATTTAGTTACTATTTTCTGATCACTGTTCTAATGTAGTTTCCTCACCACAAACAGGAGTTGGAGTTGTGTTTTGTTTCTTTCACACGTTTGACACACAAACCTGCACATTTAGGCTGAGTTCTTCTCTCAAACTGAAAATACAAAAAGTGCTCCACTGTGTTTTTAAACTCCATACTCTTCACTAGAATAATTTGGATGATTACAGACTCAGGCAATCTCTACTGAACTATAGTTAGGAGACAACAGTTCACTTAAACAATATCACTACATGATATCACAAGGTGGAAGAGCATTTTGAGTTTTGAAGATGTAGACAGATAATAATGAATAATGAAGGATTACTCATTAATAATAATAATAATAATGCAGGGTTACTCAAACATGTGTGAATGAAACAAAACAACTCCAGGTCTGTTTTTGAGGAGGGAACAGGATTCTAAGATCACGTAAAGTTCACAAGAGTTCATTTTGCTTAACATAAGACCTTTAACACTTTCTACCTGATACTCTCCCCTTTCTGGGAGCCCTTTCACATGCTGCTCACATTAGAATGACATTTAGTGGCTACTGTTTGCAGAACACTGTGGTTTTAACTTCCATTATATGCCGACCTTATAAAGTTGTGCAATTCTCTTTCAGAAGCATTGTTCGAGTGCACCTCTGATCACAACATACACAAAGTAGAGCTGCAAGAACACACGCACACTCGAACTCACAATAGGAATGGACGCAGTTAGCAAAAGGCAAAAGCTACCATCATTTCATCCGCAAACAACTAGCTTCTAACCCTGATAGATTTCTCTCTCTTTCTTCAAAATGTGATTCTTGCATTAGTTTGTCAGTCCAGATTTCAGTCTTTTTGTCAGTTCTCCTGAATGTGTTTAAAATGTTACGTTTTCACATAATCATATAATTAAAATTTGCACTCTCCTCCACTTGTGTGGTTACCACCTGTGTCACATCCTGTCTTCAACCCTCATCTTTCAGCATGAGATCAGCGGTTTTCAGGTCACACATTATGGAAGGTGTGAAATAATGTATGAATATTATTAAAATATTTCATAAAAAGTACCTATTTTTGTATTGATTTCACATTAACAATGGTGATGTACATGTGTTTTGGTGTTTTGGTTGTCAAGACGATAATCAGAAAGCAGAATGAGTCTCAAACTTGCCTCACAAATTAAATCTTTAGAGCTTTAAGCCATAATGTTGTTAAATCCTCAAAAACGCACCTGGAGTTGTGTTTTGTTTCATTCACAGGTTTGAGTAATTCCTGCATTATCAGTCTGTCTCCATCTCTAAAGCTCAGAAGTCTTTTCTGTTTGAGTGCATACCCTACCTTTCATAATGTAATACATGTTTGTGTGTGGTGATTAGGTTCAACATTTGTGGCTTTTCATTGTCATTATGAAAATACAGTCCAATAAACTGTGTGTTCTGGTCCTGCTCCTTCCTCCTCCAGCAGCCTCCTGTGTGCTGTTTGTGTAGAGCACAGTCTCACCTCGCCTCACCTCAGTGTGAGCGCGGAGCCTTCACACCCGCTCAGCTGACCACTACATTCCTCCGAGCGCTGGACAAACAGGGCAGGTCCGGCTGCTCCTCCACGCGCAGCATGAGGAGCACTGGGAGGCCTCGCTCCACGCTCTGCTTCAGAAGGGACAACACACATCATGTAAAGAGGAAAATATGAAACAGGTCACATTTTAGTTTTCAGAATGATGAAAAATGAGGACTGTTGCCATAATCATTTAAACCATCTTTTTGAATGGAGAAAATCCTTGAAATACTGCATACAACAGGAAGAAAAACATGAATGCATTTTCAAGTATTTAAAGTACTGCATTGTATTAGTGGCTTCAGAGGCAATATTACACCTCACTTTAAATAGAAAGAGGAACAGCAGTTTCCTGTGATACTGAGTACCTCCTCCATCACTGTGAACTTATACACAGAACAAACTTGTCAGCATCAGCTGTGAGCACTGCACCAGAGCCAGGCCAACATGCTGTGTGACTTCAACGGGACGACCTTGAGCACAGTGCTGCCTCCACTGCTCATCTCAGAGTTTCTCCTGGGATCTCTGGGGAATGGCCTGGCCCTCTGGATCTTTTGCTTTTATCTGAAGCCCTGGAAGAGCAGCACCGTGCTCCTCTTCAACCTGGCCATGGCAGATTTCCTGCTCATCCTGGTGCTTCCTTTTCGGGCCAGTTACTACCTGTCCCAGCTGGAGTGGCGCTTCGGGACCTCCTTCTGTAACGTGTGTCTCTTCATGCTGGCCATGAACCGCAGCGGCAGCACCTTGTTCCTCATGGCCATCGCTCTGGACAGGTACATGCGTGTGGTGCACCCCCATCACCCCGTCAACTTCTTAAGCCTGTCCAAAGCCATGTGTGGCGCGGGCGTGCTGTGGCTGCTGGCCATCTCCATGGCTGTTCACATCTTTACCCTAAAACACAACAACACCACGTACTGCGAGAGCTTCAGAATTGATGTCGACCCAGAGCGGCATATCAGATTTTCTTGGCATAAATTTGCCTTTTTGTTTTCCTTCTATGTGCCCTTAGTGGTGATCCTGTACTGCACTGTGAGCATCACCACACACATGAGGGGAAGGCAGATTGCGCAACAGGCCAAGATTAAAAAGGCCTTGTGTTTTATCATAGTGGTGGTGGTGCTCTTCATCGTCTGCTTCCTCCCCAGTAACATCACTCAGGTCATCATCTGGTTTGAGACATACAGAGCCCAGAAGACTCTGCCTCCTGGGCAAATTTGTCCAGAAATGGAAAACCTCACCATAGTCTTTTACATCACCATCAGCCTGACCTACCTGAACAGTGTGCTGGATCCTCTGGTCTACTACTTCTCCAGCCCGGCCATCAAGAACATCTGCAGGAGAGCTCTGCGTCTGCCCCAGGCCTCGGAGACTGTGGAGAGCGCTGAGAAGAAGACCAGAGACACAGGCTCTCAGTCACTCAGCCAGCTCTAACCTGAGAGAAACAGAACAGACCCATCCAAAAACCTTCACTCTATTACCAACCAGGATTTAAAAACTAGAGATGAATTGTGCATCCTTACCAGTGTCTAAACTTAACTTTTTCCAAGATTAAATCAGCAACAAACCAGGACTAAAGCAGGACTAAAGCAGGACTAAAGCAGGACTAAAGCAGGACTAAAGCAGGACTAAACAAAGACTAAATCAGGACTTAGCTCACAAGATGTTAGTAGTGATGTTTAAGGGGGTTATTAGATAATATTTAGTCAGCTTTACTATAAAATGGATTTTGTTTTGTTACCTCCACCAAGGAGGTTATGTTTTTGCCGGCGTTTGTCTGTTTGTTTGTTTGTTTGTCTGTTAGCAACATAACTCAAAAAGTTATGGACTGATTTTGATGAAATTTTCAGGATTTGTTGGAAATGTGAAAAGGAAGAACTGATTTCATTTTGGGGGTGATCCGGAAGAAATCCTGGATTCTGGATCACTTTGAAATTTTAGTTAACATTGTGGTAAATGGGGCCAAAAATTTTGTTTCTCAATATCTCGGTTAATTATTGACCAAACCCCATGAAATTTGACTCAGGGATGGACAATGGGTTCCTCTTTCATATTCCAAAGGCTGATCCGGATCTGATCCAGAAGACTGATTTTATCGCAATTTATATAAAAAATGGGGGTAGTCCTTGGCGGAGGTCTGCGCTCTCTGAGTGCTTTTCTAGTTTTTTAGTTATACGCACTGGTTCTTTCAGCTTTCTGCACTTTACATTGTATTGAGAGCGGTTTTAGTCATTTAAAATGTGAATATCTCTATGGACGTTGTTTGTATAATTTGTACCTATAGCCACTGTAGCAGAAACCCAGACTTCTATTTTTTTAGCCTTCAAACTTTAGCACAAACTTGCATATTTAACTGTGTTTATAAGTAAATGTTTAAGTCTTAAAACAAATAATAAAGAATGTGTTTCACTGAATGGCCTGTGATTATTTGGGTTACACAAGTTTGTTTAGATTCAGCACAGGTGACTAATACTGAGATCAATATGGTTCCCCAATGGCCTCTGAAAGCAGATAAACAGAATGACGTTTTAAAGATCCTATATTGCACAAAATTGACTCTTGTGAGCTTTAAGTCATGTTATAATATTACCTGATCAAAAACAGAACTGGAGTTGTGTTTTATTTCATTCACACAGGTTTGAGTAATCCTGCATTATTAGTCTGCCTACATGTCCAGAGCTCAAAATACTCAGTTGCACCTTCTGAAGCCATAAATAGGTTTGTGACGAGGAAACAACATCGTAACATTGTTCTACTTGTAACATGTTGTAAAATGGGTGAAGTGCAAAATGTTGAGGTGACACCATGAAATTGTTAGTCATTGGCTAATTTACTTCATTATTACATTGGTATGATTTGAACATGGGACTTGCTGATATTTACAAAAGTATACAGATCATCTTATAAAATTTTATTGCATGAGCATTTAACCATGCTGTAAAGGTTGATGTGATCCCTCATTTGTCCAGTAGTGGTCCATTAGAGAAAAGGCTTCAAAGGTAGTCACCCGGACAGTGTTTTTGAAATCAAAAGCTTAAAAAGTCACTTTATGTAGGACCTTTAATGGTTTAAATTAGAATGCTAGACACATGAGAGCAATATGTTAAATTTAGTTTTTTTTTTTCTAGTGAATTCTGTTTGGGGGCGTAGTGCATCATTTCTGTTTGTCATTTCTATGTCTGTGGTTCCGTTGGTTATGCAGCAAGATCTGACTGATAAGTTCAAAATACTAATAACAGGAGCGTAGACACCTGATCGTCTTGATGAAGTCTAGGCTTGGGGCTTTTTTAGATCATCTTATCAGATTTCTACACCTTTAAATGAAGGCAGGGTGTTTCATGTAGAGATCAGCACTGAGAACAAAACAACGAGAGTGTGAAGTGTGCTCACAGAGAGGCGTGCACCAGAGCCAGGCCAACATGCTGTGTGCCTTCAACGGGACGACCTTGAGCACAGTGCTGCCTCCACTGCTCATCTCAGAGTTTGTCCTGGGATCTCTGGGGAACGGCCTGGCCCTCTGGATCTTTTGCTTTTATCTGAAGCCCTGGAAGAGCAGCACTGTGCTCCTCTTCAACCTGGCCATGGCAGATTTCCTGCTCATCCTGGTGCTTCCTTTTCGGGCCAGTTACTACCTGTCCCAGATGGAGTGGCGCTTCGGGACCTCCTTCTGTAACGTGTGTCTCTTCATGCTGGCCATGAACCGCAGCGGTAGCACCTTGTTCCTCATGGCCATCGCTCTGGACAGGTACATGCGTGTGGTGCACCCCCATCACCCCGTCAACTTCTTAAGCCTGTCCAAAGCCATGTGTGGTGCAGGCGTGCTGTGGCTGCTGGCCATCTCCATGGCTGTTCACATCTTTACCTTAAAACACAGCAACACCACGTACTGTCAGAGCTTGAGTCTGCCTGAGACAGAGCTCCCAGGGATTTTGACCTGGCAAAAAGTAGCCTTTTTGTTTTCCTTCTACATGCCGTTCCTTGTGATCGTCTTCTGCACTGTGAGCATCACCTCACACTTGAGGGGCAGGCAGATCGCTCAGCAGGTTAAGACTAAAAAGGCCCTCCACTTTCTCATAGTAGTGGTGGTCCTCTTTGTAGTCTGCTTCCTCCCCAGTAACATCGCTCAGGTCATCATGTGGTACAGGATAAACCAGGCGGTCCTCACACTGTCACAGAACCAAGTGTGTGTGGTGGTGGAGGACCTGACCACAGTCTTCACCTTCACCATCAGCCTGACCTACCTGAACAGTGTACTGGATCCTCTGGTCTACTACTTCTCCAGCCCAGCCATCAAGAACATCTGCAGGAGAGCTCTGCATCTGCCCTAGACCATGGAGACTGTGGAAAGCGCTGAGAAGAAGACCAGAGACACAGACTCTCAGTCACTCAGCCTGCTGGGCACTCAGAACAAAAACAAGACCAGAGTGCTGGAACCTACCTGGGACTCCTGACCCACTCTGAAGTAACACCAGGACCCGCTTAGCTTTAAAATGGATGAACTATGAATTATCTAAGTTGACTGATGTATCAGCCTAAACAAACAGCATGAAATCTGAGACCTTTTCTTGACCTTTAAGTTTTATTGGCAACAATATTATACATTACCAGTCAGAAGTTTCATTCAGAGGAGGAGAGGGAGGATGCTTCACACAAGCGTTCTGTAGTTCACATAGATACACAGAGGTCAGTTGAGGTGACATTCACATAATCCACTTCTTTCTCTATGTTTACTACTTAATGAATTTTATATAAATACGGAAACAAGATGTATGTGACTACAATGATGTAACAAAGAAGACATTTTTTATATTTTTGAGCTTCATGATAAAGTCTCCAGAAATGATTTTCAGTTCACAGCTATGCCACTTTCATTACTCAAATATCACGAGTGTTCAAAGAGCAAAGGGGAATGGCTATTTTAAGGAGTTTAAACTAGTTCTTTCACACTATTTTGTTTACTAAAGTGTAAACAGATGTTAATGCCGTGTGTGTGTGTGTGTGTGTGACCGGTACATTTTTCACTAATGTTGTAAGTCTGTATGCCTGTGCTGGAGTGCATGAGAGCTGTTCTTGTATCTGTTGTGTCTGTTTTGCATTATCTTGTGTTTAATATGCATTGTCCCTTTAATAAATAAATACAAACACAAATCACCAGTGTAAATAGTGGTCACAAGTGTGTCAAGCCTTGGGACTGGTAACTGCAGTAAATCTGAATTCTTCTCGTCTCTTGCCGTTTGCCCCTCCATGCCTGAAGAGTTTATGTTTGTATAGTACTCTCCACCATATTTTCAAGTGTTTAAAGTTCTTTTGGACTCTTGACCAGTGAGTAGCATAATCAGCCCACAACAAAATAATAATAAAAATAAATGCAGATTTGTGTTTATTTTTTGTTGTTGTTTTAGATAGTCAGTCCTAAACTGTAATTTTTAAGACTACTTCTGTAAATAAATATACTCACAATTAGCTTGAAGTGAAGTAACCTATATAACCTACAATTACCAGCCTCGGTGAGCTTCATTTGATTTCATTTCTTTATCCAGTATATATGTATATCGGCCATATGATACATCTCCAATTTATACAATAACTTTATCTGGTTACAGATAATCTGCCTTTTGTCTTTTTTACACTATAAAAAAGGAACAAACACAGTACAAAGCAAACTGGAGGATTTATTAAATAATGTGTTTTGTATATACAAAGTAGGGCAGTAAACAGGGCTGGTACAAATGTGATTACTAAATGTGTGGTGTGGGATCTTCACAGCACTCCATTGTCCAGGCTGAGGAGCTCCTGAGGATCAGATGTAGAACACAGTGCTGTGAGTGAGTGAGAGGCACACAGGGCAGGTGCAGGGCAGGTGCAGAGTGTAGTACCTTGACACAGCCGGCCGGAGACCCAGGGCCGTTTGTGAGCAGCTTGGCCCTGTGAGGCTCTCTGTGCTTCAGGTACTCACGGGCCAGAGACGCAGCCTCCTCCGGACTGAAGCAGAAACAACCAGAGATGTCGGTTCTGTTCAACAGTTTCTATTACACAAAGCTAACTCTTGTGAGCTTTAAGCCAGGCTTTAATGTTGTTCCTCAAACAGAGACCTGGAGTTGTGTTTTGTTTCATTCACATGTTTGAGTAACTCTTTATTATTAGTCTGTCTGCATCTCCAGAGCTCAAAATGCTTTGTTCCACCTTGTGATGTCATGAAGTGGTAGTTTTGAAATTAACCTTTTACCTTTAGTTCAGTAGAGATTGGCAATTCCTGGCTGAAATGATCCAAATGATACTAGAAACACAGTTCTGTTTGATACCTACATATAAAATAAATGGCAAAAAATTGTGCAATATAGCTCTAGGGTAAAAGTGAATAAAACATTTTTGCAGTTCATATTTATTAATATTATTTTTTTGATTAAACAGTTTTTTTCATGAACACACATTAGTGCAATGTAACACAAAAAAGCACAATTGTATCACTGGTGAAGAAAACCCAGCAGTACCTCTACTTCCTGAGGAAACTCATGCCTCACCACCATCACGAGAACACCCTACAGAGGAACCACTGAGAGCATGCTTTCAGCTGCATCACTGTGTGGGGCAGAAGCTGCACTGACCACGACACGAGAGCCCTACATCACCACCCACCTCACGCGCATGTACGCAGCCCTCCTCACCATCCTCGGGAGAATTAACAATCGATTAATCATTAACATTTTTGTATTAAAATGATCATCATTATTATTACAATCTGCACTACTAATCTGCATAAATAAATTCAACTTTACGACATATAAACCATAATCACTCTAGAGCCACATCAGCCTGTTTGACAATATAATGTTTAATGCAGCTTTGCGCAACTCTCACAGAAACTAAACTTAAAACCACATGGCTCATTTGCATAAACTAAGAAAAAAAAAAAAAAAAAAAAAAAAACAGCTCTTGTGCGATGCGGCACGACTCAGTGGAATACAGGTTAGTGTGACCATATTTGCGTTTGTCAAAACCAGGACAGCGTACGGGGGATGAGAGGTGGGGCCTCGTCATCGACATTGAGCAACTCTCACCTGGCAAAACTTTTTCATGTTTTCGGTGTCCTGGTGAACTTTTTCCCACTGGACACTAAAACATATGTGCTGCTTTGTACACTGTGCACATGGACTCACACTTGTCCCGACTGGAACAGAAAGCGTGGAATTTCTTGTACAAAACGACTTAATACAAAAAAAGAACTGTGTTAGAAAACTGTGGTGCCCAGTGGGAGCTGACGGCGCCATAAATGTTATGACAACGAAGCGCCGCATGCTGCGGGCCCCTCCTATGGATAGCTGCACAAAGTAGATCGATTTTTTTCCATTTCTGCAAAAAAAAAATAAATAAAAAAGACTACACAACGCTGTCAAATCGTATGTATATGACTGGTTAGGAAAATAACATCGGAAAATGAAGAAAGCTCAGAGTAGTGGGTGTGTACTGGTGAATTGAAATTAAGAAAGGTTGCTCATGCATAAATCATTCTAAATATATCTTTGAGAGGGTAAAAGAGGAGAAACAGGGGAAACAACAAAGGGAAAACAAATGTAACAAAAAGCTCTGTAATTCTTGCAGAATAAGTTTGCTTTAAAGTCACATCATATAAAACCATGGTCCAAACTGTTTTGGATAAATGCAACACCCAGCTGCTGTGAAAACTTGTGGGAGGATGTACAGTCCATCACACGTTTTGTTCACACGCTACTTCACACTAGAGCCCGACCGATATATCGGCTGGCCGATATTATCGGCCAATATGGGCACATTGCGACATATCGGCTATCGGCCGATATGCTTGCTGATATGGGCCGATATTTCACGTGGGCATGTTATACCTCGTTATAAATCTTAGACTCTCTACATTATGTTCATATAATCCAATTTATAGACAGATAAATGTCCTAATATGTGGCTCCGCATCAGTATTTATTTGCGGTGTAATTTGTCTGTGTCGGTACTGTCCCTGAACACACCCACTTCACTCACGTGCTATTGTTTACACCCGCAGCGGTGCGCAACACTGAGATTATATTCTTTTTACGGACAATCGTCTTGAGTCTGGATTAAAAGGACTTTTATTAGTGCAGACTTGTGATGTGAGGAGGAGCCTGCGTGAGCAGTGAGTGTTGGAAATATGTTAACTTTGAAGCTAGTTAGCTGTTAGCTGCTGTAGCTTCCGCACATAAACAGACTGTTTTCTATTGGTCTATTGTAAAGTGACTGTATTGTCCGTATATTTGCTACTGGACCAGCATTGATATGTAAATGAGCTGTGAATAGACGTGTGAATGATCCACATTTATGCATATAATTAATTACCGCGGTGCGCACGTTTTTACGGCTAAAGGCTAATAGCGATAGTTTACTAGCTAGGAGTTATGGGTCGGTCGCGATCGAAGCGGCTCTTAGATCCGGCTCTTTGAAGCGAACAACGGGAGCATGTTTCTTATTGGGAGCCGTGTTTTCTCTTTCTCACTTTTTCTCTTCAAGCCGCTTGTAGACCCGTAGTTTGACAGCAGCAGCGGCTGAAAACGAAACTTTCAGAAATATGCGTGTGCATAGGATTTTAAAAAAAAAGTGTATATTTGGCTGCAGTTCAGCATAAAATGAATAAACCAGGACTAATCTTGGTCTTGAGAGAGAGATAGAGACCGAGTCCCGACACTCAGTCCTGGTTCAGTTCTGGTTTAGTCCTGTTTCACACATGGTTTAAATCTGTTTTAGTCCTGGTTCAGTTTTAGTTTAGTCCTGCTTGCAACAAAACAATCTCAAGAGTCGCTTGGGAGCTGAAAGAGCCAGCTGCTTTAGTGAGCCGAGCCAAAAGAGCCAGTTCTCCAAAAAAAAAACAACTGGAATACCCATCACTAGTAGCTAGAATGTGATGCAAAAATGCCATTAGGCCAATCTACTGTATGTAAATATGATGTAAAGAGTCAGAATAACAATAAATGTTGCCTAAATAAACCCAATTTAGAATCCACTAGAGCCAAACCTAAGTTTTTTAAACAATTCAATATTTACAGTGAATTTTTACATCACTAAATATATCGGCGATTATATCGGCTATCGGCAGCGCCAACTCCCATTATATCAGTTTCATATCGGCCACAACAAAATCCATATCGGTCGGGCTCTACTTCACACAGTCTTTTCCTCTTCTTATACCACTCTTTAGACATACTATGCTTTATGGGGGAATTTTGTAGTGTATCTACACTTAGATTCATATTATACATTCTGTTCACTGTAAACCACTATATTGATTTAAAAGGCCCATATTACACTATTTTCTAAGACATTGAGAAATTCAGTTCTGTCAACAGGGTGAAAGTTTTTTGATCAAATATGTCTCACAGCTCATCCAAGCTGCTTCTTCAAATGTTATATGTTATAATGTTCTTTCAACATATCTCACAATATTATAACATGGCTTAAAGCTC